AGTTTTGGCAACCCATCTGAACAGAGGTGCCAATGCACCCAACGGATCACCTTCCGAGGATGCCTGTTTTCCTCTTGTGTACAGTAGCAGCAATGGTTAATTAGCTCAGGCTTTATGTGTGGAACTTGTAGGCACCTAAGTCTGCAGTCAGGCACACTCCTCCCTCTCCAGTTAGACAAGTTAAGGGTTCAGGCCTCTTGTAAGTGCTAACAAGCACTGAAAGGCTTTGGAATTTCTGAGCTGTAATGCTGTGCTTCTAGACCTCATTCTGTTCTTCAGTGGGAATACCACAGTTAGTCAGGGTGGTACAGGCTAAGGGCAAGGGAGCTGGGACATGGTTAATCACACCCTTTATCAAGGCTACGTTAGGCATTTTGTTTTTGCTCCTAACTTCAATGCTCCAAATCGTGCCTCAGGGCACCTAAGTGAAATGTCTGAAGTTAAACAGTGTGAATACCCCTGAGGTCACTTCTGCCCACCTGAAGTGGCGGGCAGGGGTCCTGCTGCAGGCCTGGCAACACTCAGAGCAGAGCACAGACAACACTGTGATCGAGATTTCCCTTCAGTTAAACAGAGTCCTACACATCAAAGGCCGGAACACTGCCACTGCAGAGCACAGCACGGAGGACAGACTGACATGCCAACAGGATAAAGCCATACTGATATTATCATTGGTATGATATTAAGAGCTTGCCTGCCTGTTTATGGTCATTTTCTTCTGCTGCTGCCACCTGGCCTGCCTGATCTCATCAATACCTCATTCAAACAGCCAGGAAAGGAAACATGCAAGGCTCTACCAAACATGCATCGGTTTTCCATCAAATAATATCCACTGTTTCTAATCTTTCCTCAAATAACTGAATCACTTCTTGAGTCAGCCACGTATTCCTTCTTCATCTCATCTCACCCAGCTGTATGAGCACCTCACACGACTAAAGATGCCCCATCACAGAACGTGATGTGATACCAAATGACAACAATTACAGTACAGCTTAGGGCTAACACCAAGGCTGAAATTTACTTACACAAAGTCCTCAAAACCTGGAACAGAGCTCTTGAAAACGTCCAGTCTGAGCAGCCATTCAAGAGCAAAGATCCACAGAGGAACATAAATTTCCATCCTCTACCATTCTAATATTCCTGCTTATTTGCCATCTTACAGCCCTCCATTTACCTTCTTTAACAAGAATCTTACATCCACTACTGAAACTAGAAGTCATTCAACAAGCCTAAAAATGGGATGCAAGATGACAATGTTGACTTATTCTTGGAATATTCTTCTATACCACCTCCCAGACACGGTGTATATAAAACCTCCTACAAGCTAACAAAGCACAAACAATTAAAGGAATTTTCTTCTCCTTTTCAGTCTTTGTCAGTCCCTCTCTTGTAAGGTATGGAGTAGATCCATGCACATCTACATTGCTGGTTGCTGGCTCACACTACCAACTGCTGGGACATGCTGGATTCTTATGGATCACATGAAGGTTTATGTCACAATTAATTTTTCAGCCAACTGGAGTTAAATCTTGCAAGTTAAAAAATCCTAATCTGCTAGACTACAAATATAGCTGTTACTTAAATGTCACCAGCTGCTGGGGCGGGGAAAGTGATTCAAGGGGAAGGAAATTCTCTACCTGTAAACCTCATTACTGACGATAGGCTTGAAAGGCACTGAGCCTCTGATCAGCTTGCTGGAACGTCCTCGCTTCCTTAACCGCAAAGAAAAGCAGGGCAGAACTGTCCTCTCACGTTAAAAAGAGAAGCTTGGAAGTTCATCGTGTTTCAAGGTGAACCTCAAGTTCCCTGTGCTGCTTGGAATGTGTCTCTTTAAAAGTCAGGGTTGAAGCAAATGTGAAACGTCTGTTTTCAGATATACGTCCTGATATCGTAGAACCACAGCATGGGTGGGTGGGAAGGGCCTCCCACCCCTGCCATGGACTGGCTGCTCCCCCCCCCTCAGATCAGGCTCCTGGGGTCCATCCAAGGCCATTGGCACCTCCAGGGATGGTCATCCACAGCTCTGGGCAGTGCCAGTGCCTCACCACACTCTGGGTAAAGAATTTCCTCCTCACATCTCACCTCTTTTAGTTTAAAGCCATCTCCCTTGTCCTATCGTTATCAGACCATGTAACAAGTTGGTCTCAATCCTTTCTTTTATCAACTCCCTTTAAATAGGTCCCTGTGACAGGACTGGAGCTGGATGCAGTGCTGCAGGTGGGGGCTCACAAGTTACAGACAGCACTGCATTCATTTACTGACCTTGGGAGGCACTTCCAGCAGCACTGGTAGCACTGAACCTTTTGACTCACGTCAAACACAGCACACACAACTATGGGCCCCCGATGGGGTGTCAGGAGAGTCACTGCCTTCAAGTTGGGGAAGTTACCACGTGTTTACCCACTGCAGACCCCACAGACATGCCCGTTCGGAGCTGGGATTTCCTCTGCCGCAGGGCACATCCCTTAGGATACAGCTCAGCTCATCCCCAGCTGCGGCACTGTGCTTCCAACCACTGCGCGGCCCAGAGCTGACACCGAGGGTTTTCTAAAACCTGTGGCTGTGTTGAAAGACTTCCAGATTCTGCCTTGTCCTAACAGGAATGCATTCACTACCCTGCACGGTATCGCAGCTTGGCTGGCCATCTATTTTACCAGCAAGTAGGAGGCCCACGCCTCTTTGCCATCTGTCACCACTCATTTTCCATTGCTTCTGAGAACAACCTGAGAATAACCCCGCTCTGATTTAGCTCAATGAAGCAGGAAGCCCTCGGAGTACATCTTTCCTACATGGTCTGCTTACTACTCTGTTCTACCTTTACCCATCCCACCTTCCTGTGTTTTGTGGCATTAATTCTGACTGTTTGCTTGCTCTGTTCTGGCTGCCACGAGTGGACCGCTCAGTTTCCATGAGAACAGGGAATCTCTGGACATGGCTTGTAGTTCATTTAGAACAGTCATGTGCAAAACCAAATAGAAATTCATAAGAAAACGGGTTCTACCTTACTAGACAAAGGCTTAGATGAGTCAATGAAGGACAGACATCTCTAGATCCTTTTGGACATCAGTTTAAAAGACAGGAGAGCTTTCTCTGGTGGAAGATGAGATAACGGAGGGTGTCTGCACTGACGCGGACCAACCACGACTTGATCAGAGTCCAATTAATAAGTTTAGTGCCTCTAAAGAATCCGCAAGGCCTCCTGCTGGCATCGTTTCTGTTATTCTCAATCTCCACCTGAATGCTTGCCCATCCTGGTTAGGTGGTGTTTTCTCTCCATCAAAGCAGGTCTCACGCCACCTCCCTCCCACAGCAGCACCAGCTGCCTGCTTTCTCAAAACCAGGCAGGAAAGCCAGCAGAAATTCTGGACGTGCCTGCTTAAGACTGATGTGATCTCCAAAGGAGCTTTTGCTGCAAATCCTACCTCTGCTAGACAATACTGAGGATTTCATTTTCCAGAGATCCTAACTCGGCACCAACCTACACTCACTTTGAAAGAGACAGGAAATGCTCAGAAGGAAAAGAATGCTGCTCCTTCCCTGAGCAGGTCCTCCCTCAGCCCAGGAGAGAGAAAAGCCCTCGTGTCCACCCAATGCCAACTCCTGGGGGGCACAGAAACGACACCTCCATCACACCACGCACCTGGGGAACCATGCTCACTCAAATCCTGCCCCAGAACTGTCCCAGCACAATTGCATGACCATAATTACAAACTCTGCCTTTCTGGCACTGATGCTGTTCAGGTGATGTTGAAAAGCTTTCCACTGTGCTTCAGGAGGAAGATGATGTTATTTTGCAACGATGTGTTTTCACATGAAAAATCATTGCTATTTTTGATCTGCAGCAGATCTAATGAAACTAATAGCACTGACTTTAGTAAATGAAAGGTGCCAGTAAATAAATAACCACTGGAATTACTGCCTCCACTCATGCGCTCTGCACAACAGTCTCACATTTCGTATGTTTGCCTCTCTCCCTCCACGTGGATGCATTGATTCCAAATAGCTCAGGCAGCTCTGGACGAAGAAGGAACGATGATCTCTTAGGGAGCTGCCTGGCTCCCCAAAAAGGCTGTTTATAGCAGCACCTTCAATGCTATGAAAAGAAACCTTTCTCTTGGTTCTTTGGCAGGCTGTGGTTACCGACATCAAGGTCTGTCTCTCCTCTATGGGGACGGCTTCGTCCCGGAGTTCCCACCTGGACCCAGAAAGTGCTCACTGACACAGAGGGGTATTGGCACTGCAAGATACGTGTCTCAAGAATGAAGACTATAAACAGCTGCTAGCATAAAGTAACACAGCCTTGCATAGTTGCCATGCAACTCTGTCATCTCAAGGGCACAACCTGATGTATTGCAATGAGGATAACGATAAAAATATAAAGGCATGCATCTTGTTCCATTCCCTAAATAAGTGCCTTGGCCAAATAGGAGAATTTTGCAGGTTGCCAATAGCAACTCTCATGTTTTCAGAGCACACTGTGCACCATCTTCATGCAAAGCAGAAAAATTACCCAAGTCTCTCCCATGGCTCAATAGCCCGTGTTCAGCCTAGGCTAGGCCAGGTGCCTGCAGAGCTCCTGTGCCCTACCACGCCATATCCTTGCCTGAGCAAAGTGGCCAAACACCACTGCCCGTCAGAAAAGTGGGAGACTTTTACAGATAAAAACGTGCCTGATCATTTCTTAAAATAAGGAATGAAACCTGTTTCTGTTCACACAGGAGGGGGTGTTGTTTAGACAGACACACACATGCACAGATACTAACGAGAACGTTTATCTCTTATACTTGCAACATATATAAAAGTAAGGTCACACACAGGTTCCTCTCACTGACTGCTCAATGTTGCAAAAATATGGAAGCACTGTTATTCTTCAGAATAGTGAGGCTTTCCGCCCACCTCTTCCCCATCCAAATTTATTGGCTGTGCATTTCCACAGGCTTAGCTCCCCAAGCAGGAGCTGTAGGTCTGCTGGGGCCTGAAGGTTTGGATGGGCCTCGTACCTGAACCCTTGTATGGCTTGCCAGATGTGGAGAGTAAGCTGCTTCCTTTCCTGAGTGCTCCACAGCTTCAGACATCGCATTGGCGCTTTTGTGCTGGTGATGGTGGGACCTCTGGTCGTGGTGGCCCTCCCTTTTCCTGGCATCTGTGTCAAAGAAGACGTGGGTTAACCTCTCCAGGTAGTGCTCCAGCTCCTCCTGGGTGTGCTCCAGTTGCTTGCCAACGTTACTGGGAAAAAAGGAAGAGGAAGGTGGAGGGCTTTTGCTTTCCATCTCTTTCTTGACCTCCTCCACGTGTCGGTTATGCTTCATTAGATAAACCACGATGACAAACAAGATCAGGCACAGATACACAACCCAGACTTCTTCCATTTCGGTGGCTAATGCTTGTCAATGTACTCAAAGGGAAAAAGACAGATGTGCCAAACACAGTAGGTGTGTCAGTATCCACAGGAAAGGACTGTTGCCAGTAATCAAAGCACCGCAGTAACGTAATGTCAACGTTCAATTTTCTAAGGCAGTGTGGCTTGCAAACTTTCCTTCAGTTCCAAGTACGAATGCAGCAATGGTGGACAGCAAAAGAAAATTTAAGCAAAGAAAACAGAACTGTTTTGTCCCTGGAGTAAAACAACTTCAGCAGAAAGATGGAGGATCATCTGTCACAGCTTCATATGTCTTAGAACAGCAGTATTCCTCCTTGGTTTTATTAAGAAACTGCAGGTACAGTGCTTACTACTCTTCAAAATTCTTTTCTTTTTCTGTCTTGCTTGAAGTGGTAAGGTTTTCTTCTTTCTAATTCAAAGAGAAGATAAGGTAGGATTGGGATTTTCCTCTCCTGTGGAAGATCATGGATTGTTTTATCCTTTGGGGGTCATGAGGTGCACACCCAGCACTCCGCAAACAGCTGTCAGAAGGGAATCTCAGTTGCTTGAGATTGCTACAGATTCGGTAGGCCTGGTTTTGTTGGGAGAGGGGCTCCCAGGCCTCGGGAGGTGGTTCCAGCTGCACCCGGCAGGGATCCCTTGGAGAGCCTTTGTAGGCTGCTCAGCAGTGGCTCTGCCCCCCAGCTGCTCAAGGCAGAGGACAGGCAGCTCAGGGACCAATGAATGCATGTCCACTGACCAAGCCCGAAAGGGGATTGGAAGAACTTACCAACCACAGTCAACAGCCAAAAGGGAAACAGCCACAAAATCTGCCAGGATGGGGCCAGCCTGTGAGATGGGAGGGCAGCCACCAGCCATCAGCACCGCTCTCCCCTCAGAGTCAGGGTCTGCGTGGAATGGGATTGCGTTTCCTAACCTTTGCTAGGGGATCTTTTTACAGATGAGGCTGCCAAGCCTAAAAGGAGCAGAGATCACACTCTGCTGCCTCTGTGTGTTAATGCGCTCGGTCTTACTCTTCTGCCGCAGAAACAACTCCAAAATTCCTCACTTCGTTCCCAGAACTGAAATCTTTCCCTTGCTTTGCCAAGGCGAACGGTCTGAGAAAAAACAGTGTCTTGTCATCCTCCACTTCTGCTGTCCCAAGACCAAAGCTATTGGTCAGGTTCCACTCTAGAGGCACTGTTGTACTTTGCAGCCCCTTTTTGCCTGGTTTTTATATTTTTTCCTGAGGTCACAACCATTCTGGAGGCTCTCGTGAGCAGTTTGCTGCTACAAGCCTGGCCTGCAATGGGCACACTAGATTTTGGGGGGCACCACCAGAGGGATATAGAGCTATGAACCTGCCTGCGCCTCTCACACCAATCTCAAGTGGACGGCACAAAGCTTAGGACAGGAATACAGGCAGAGACAGGTAGGTCAGCACTAAGCTACATTTTCTACCAAAACTGGACACTTTCTCTTTTTCCCACTGCTGCACACTGTGAATTCTGTAGGGTGATATCTCCAGCTACACGTATTACAGCAACTAGTAGAGCTAAGCCCTCCCCTAGATCTGACACTGCTGCAGTAAGACATCACAAAAGCCATAAATGTCACCAAAAGTCTAAAGAAAGTAATGGTACAAAGGGGAAAATAATTCAAATGTCATTAAGACTGCATTACGACTTTCATGAAGAGGAACAGACTGATAGAGAAGCAACAGCATTTCCTAACCTACAATAATATTATTTCCTTCAAAATTAATGAAATGGTAATGCAGCAGAGATGCTACAGACACTGCAGAGCTGACACAGACTACCTGTGGAACTGACACCCAAACCCTGAGCCTAGCCCCAACCCTAATAACTCCAACCCTAACTGAAACCCCAACACTAATAACTCTAACCATGGAATCATAGAATGGCTCAGGGTGAAGTGCCATGGGCAGGGTTGCCTACCATAAGACCAGGTAGCCCAGGGCGCCATCCAAACTGGCCTTGAACACCTGCAGAGATGGGGCATCCCCACAGATAGGCACCACCATTGGTGCTCTCCAGGCAAATTCTGGGCATAACCCTTTGGGCATAATCCTAATGCTAATAAAATTAACACTAACCCAAACCTGAATCCTAACTATAATAACCCTAACGTTACCACTAACTTCAGTACTCTAAACATAACCATAAAATAAAGGTAACCCTAATCTTAACCCTCACCCTAAACCCACCCCTATCCCTAAACTCTAATCCTACCCCTGATGCTAATAACCCTAACCATGATAAACCTTACTCTAAACCCTAACACTAACTCTAATACCCCTATCCCTCTACCCAAACTCTAACCCTCACTCCAATAACTCTAATCCAGGCCAAGCACGGCTATGAAGAAGTCCTGCAAAAGGAATATGTGTTGGCTTTGCAAGTCAGCATTATATAAAAACCTCTGAAAAACCACAGCAGCCTCTCACCTATGAGAATGCCTTTTTTTCCCTCTGCTTTCCTTGCAGATAACATGGCTGGATTAAGTCACACTGAATATTCATCTCACCGGTATCTCTATTCTAATAGTGGATACCTAAAGAAAAGAGACTGAAGCAAGAATGTGTAAGGATGCTTCCTAGAATGCTCCTGCAGCCTTCCACAGCACAGGAACATCCCGTGTCTCACCAGCTCAAGACTCATCTGAAAAAAGAAAGGAAGAAAACCAAAACTATTTCCCAGGCATATTCTGCATCACCAACTAGGTAAGGAAAGAACTGAGGCTCTGAGCTCACATACAGCATGCCATTAATCTTAGCAAATGGCATGAAAACGTTAAAAGTTTGAGATCAGTGCAGCTTTCATACGCTTAATCCTGGAAATAAAATGAATCCTGGTTGTTATGCAGAGTCAAAATGCCTGCAGTACTTCCCAGCAAACCACAAGGATCACCTAAACTACTGGCTTCCAGACTGAAGTCTTCTTTCTTGTTTCTACCCACTGCACATGCTACTCACGTTCAGTTTCTCGTTATGCCCTGACAGTCATAATTTAACATATTTTAAACAAAAAATACCCTGGCAGATGCAACAGGCTGCTTAGTAATAAAATCTATTTCTTTTTGTAGGCAGCAGCAGGTTTTTTTTTCCCAAGTCTTTCTCTGTAAACGTTTCCCACCAACACTCTGTTGCTCTCAGCACATGCTGGAATCTGCCTACACTTCCATTTCTTGCTTCTCATACAGGATGACTGACTGGACTATAAAAAGGAAGGAAAGCACTGTGCCCTGGGGCCACCTGATACCACATTTCCTTTTAAAGGACTTCTGTTCCCCCAGCTTTTTTAGGCTGAGTGGGGAAGAACTTCTGCATGAACGCAGGGCACGGGCTGACTGGCTGAAGCAATACAGAGACCCAGGAGACACACATTCAGCCGATCAGAAAGCAAAAATTTAATACAAATCAAATGCAAGAGAACCTTTGGGCTCCCACAGCTCTTTTCACCACCACCCAAAGTTTAGCACACAAGTCAGTTATCCTCTGGGCTACTTGAAAGTGAGCTCAGAAACACAAATCTTTCCCTGACTGGAAACTATTGCTCTAACATTCCTAGGCTTGAACAAATCAGCATCTGCTGTCCTCTTCTAAGTCAACACCTGTCAATTAAATAGATGAAAGAGCAAGGACGATTCTCGCTCATTTTTGTCCCAGATTCTGAACTTTTTTACTCTATGAATGGCAGTAATTACACACTGCCCTGTGCTTCCTTGACACCAGAAGCTGCATGGCACAGCTGTCAGGTGGAATGGATTCATCCAGACAGCCAGTGCACTTAGATTGCCTCCCCTCTTCTCCCTCTGCAGAAACTGGGTCTTCTTCACAGAGCATTCCGTTTTGTGTGTGCTGCTTTCTCACTTGCTAAAAAAGGCCTCCTCTACTTGAAGGCAACAGGAGAGTGGGAAAAACTCACAGTATAAGAGACATTCTTAAGTTAACAGAAATTCTGCAGGAAGAAAACCAGAGCCTATCAGACTCCATGCTGCAAAGGTGACTTTCTACAGTGTGAGCATGGAGGACTACTGGAGTAGATTGAGTCTTGGGTTCATATGCCAGGTTGGCAGATCTGTTTTGCACCTCTGAAGGCACTCAAAAGGAGAATCCTTTCCATAGGAAATAAACTGGGATTCCTCTGTAACATTTTCTATAGCACAGCATCCTTCTTAAGGAGCTTTAGCAGAGTTTTGAGCCATGGTTTCAATCTAAAAGACTGTCCTAGAAGAAATTAAAGCGAAACTCTTCTTGAGAAACCGTGAATTTGAATGTGCCTGTGTCAGGTGTGTCGGCTGACTCCGGAAGGGATCCTGCTGATCCTTGGCTTTTACTGCATGCTCCGGGGCGCTTCCTGATGACCTGGCATTTCTTGTTCTGCACTTCCAGGATCTTGGCAGATTTTGCATCTTAAAGAGGGGAGAAAACAGCAGGAAGGGATTTTATTCACCTCATATGGCAAGCTCCCACACTGCAGAGCTGTACGTAGGGCGGGAGCAAAGTCCCTTCCTCTTTAATTTCCCCCTGCATGCAAAGTTTCCCTACCACATAGCATAAGCTTCAGCTGTTTGCACAGCTCCTCCTCCATCTTCTTCCTGTAGTCTCCAAATATGGCTCTCATGATTTGACGTTTCTTCACCAGCGGAGCCTTGTCACTGCGCAGTGTCCTGATTGCACGGACAGCCTCCTCAACTGGAGCAGCACAAGGGAGAAACACCTCAGTTTAAGATTCTCTGAACCCTCCAACAAGGGAGATTTCTCGTTTATTAGAATACTCACCCTGCTTGGGAGTGGATTTCTGTGTCTTCAGGCCAATTTCCAGTTGTTCCACACACCAATCCACCTCTTTCTGCAGCTGGTCATCTGACTGCTATGGAACAGAGTGAGCACAAGGAAATAAACCACCCCAAAATTAGAGCAGCAGTTGCTAAACAGGAAAAAATCAAGCTGCATAAAGGCAGGACCATCCCGAATTTCAGGCTCTGGAGATTACAAGCTTCAATACAACTTCTCTGTTGTCTGTATTTTCACTGGATAAACTTAAAGCACTGGACAAACGTTTAGTTGCAATTCACTGTCTCTGTTTGATGGATTTAATAGCTGGCTGTCACTCAGATGACACAGTGGAAAGCTGGTCAGGACCATCCATAAGAAAGAAGCTGTAAATTCAATTTATGGATGAGAGGAATAAGCATTAACAAAACAAAAGGCTACCCAAAAACTTGCCCAAAATCCAACAGTAAGCAATGGACAAAATCAGAAGCTGAGCCCTGGTGTCTCAGCCCAAGTGCTTGCTCAACCAGAAATGCATGAAGTCAAGGGAGTTAAAGCCCTCAAAGATGGAAGAAGTCCTAACAAACACAGCCAGCCAGTGGAAAGGAAAGGAAAAGAGCTGCATCCTACAGCTGAAGCACAAAAGTTCTCATGCTACCTCTTCCTTTTCCTTACAGCAGTCTCTTTCCAATGAATGGGATGGGATTTGCATCACTTTCAAATCTTTTCAACTCTCTGATATTCAGCAGTGTTTACTGGCAGGGCTGTTGTTCAAGAAGCAGATAAGGCATACATAAAATACAACTTCAGTCTAAAACATTAAAAGCAACTTTCTTGCAATTTTATGTCTCAGAATTGCTCAGCTGGCAGGGTTTAATAATAACAACTACAACAATGCTGAGAAGAAAAATAAAAGGGAGACCTGGACCATAGCAGAACATCAGAAAATCTCACGATGTGTTCAGATCAGAGAATCTTAATGGTGTCTTCACATAACTTGCAACTTCAGCTGAACTTGGGCCTGCCTCACGGTGGGAGCCTTCCCGAAAGTTCTCAGGCTTTGCACTGCAACATGCCATAGCTACGGCTGCAGCACCTCAGAGCTTTCCTATGTGCATTCTGTGAGTAACTCATCCTCCCTGATAAGGTGCCAGTCAAGAGCACAGTGCCTGACACCAGCATGGCACTGGCTGATGACAGTTCTTGGTTTATGTTAAATAAAACATGACACCCAGCTTCCCAGGATTAGGATTACAACTCTAAACATCAAATGCTTCAGCACAGGTCTGAAACAGAAAACAAAGGAACGTTACATTTGTTTCCATTGATCAGGCTCACAAGGGAGAAAACTGCTGCTCCAAGTCAGCAGCAATCCCTGTCTTTCACATTCACCTCAATTCATGTCACATACTAACTGCACTGACATTTTCTTTTTTACTGAAGGATTAAAATTATAGGATCCCATCAATATCTGAATACCTGAGAGGTCTCATCCTGATGGGCCGCATCTTTATTCTGGCATCCATTAGCTTCCACCTTTGCCTTCCTCTTGGTCTCAGTTTCTTTCATATCTTTTTTACTGACAGATGCATTTTGTTTCTTCTTTTTCTTCCTTTGTGTAGCTCCCTCTGATGCTGATTTCTCTATCACTGTGCTATCCCCAGGGGCACTCTCTGGCTTGGACATCTTTAGTGTGACATGGCTTTCATCCTCTCTGGGCACAGCACTCGCAGTTTGATCCAAGTCAGACTTCTCCAATGCTGAAATCTGCACCACATCTACTGACTCAGCAGGCACTGCATTATCCAGCACCTCACGATCTGCTGCACCCTCCATATGTTGGCTGGCTGGAACTAATGGGACCAGAGGACAGTCTTCTTTAGGAATGGCAAAGCTGAAAGACAACTTGGGTTCCTGGCCAGAGGCAGCAAAACTCAGAGCTCCACTGCAGAGTTCTTTTGCTCTGTGGTTCTTACACTGGTTTGCATCTGCTCAGCAGTGCTGACACCAGGGACTGCTTCCAAAGGTGCACCAGCTGCTTCTGGGTCTGCTTTACAAAGCAAAAAATCAAATTGGGTGTTGTAGTGAGATGATGTGAACCCCTCTGGTTTTGCCTTAGAAATCTGGTCTGACTGTTCCCCATATGACATACCTTCTGTAGCCTGCCCACTGCCTTGCTGTACTTCCACATCAACAAGTTTTGTGCCTAGAAAAGAAAAATAATGTTTCTATCATGATGACTGTTTCCTACTATGGGGATGCCATTGCTACTCGCCCTGTAAAGCACTGGCAGAGAAGCAATCCAACCCAAAGCTGTGAGATGGGAAATTCACAGTAAAGAGCCAAACAGCACCACTTCCCAAAGGGACTGCACAAGCTCACCTGCCTTCTTTGTGCTCTTCCAGTCCTCAGCTCTTTCAAGATGACAATCCCCAAGCACGCAGTTTATCACTTCTTGCTTCTTTATAAAAGCAGTCCCATGGGAGCACAGCACCTTGAGAACATGCTCTGTCTCTTCTGCTGCACTCAAGAAAAAGACCGAGAGAAACAAGAAACAGGTTATGGTGGGCCCTAAAAAATCTCCCATGAGACTCCAATGACCGAGTCTCTTCTGACCGTGTACTGTGCTTACACCACCTCTGATTCATGACAGTTAGATGAAAATAAGCTCCAAGTGCTTCTAGGAGCTGAAGCAATACCATGAGACATCCTTAACAGAAAAAAAAAATAGATCCTTTAGCATCTTACCATACATACGTGAAGAATCTTACAGACAGGCAAATGTGCAACTAACAGCACTGAGGCTACTGACTGCTTAACGACCATTCCCTCGGAGCAACTGAGAAATCCAGGAGCACAGCACGGTGTCTGTTCTCTGGGAAAACTGGGGAAGAGCTGACTGAGCAGCGAGTACACCCTAAAACACAGGACTCTTGCTTGAGGCTCACACAAACCAGCCAAACAAACGGTATCTTGCAGGAGCACTGCAGATGTAATGCTGAACATCCCACGTTATGAAAGGAGTAATGGCACTGCATGAGGCAGAAGCACCTCAATGGGGCTGTGGTCACCCAAAAAAGTGGGACGTCCCTTCACAGCCCCTGGGTGTCAGCACCCTGAGCACACACACCTCCAGCTGAGTTTAGCTGGCCGCAATCAAGGACTGCTTGCCACTAAGAGCAATTACAAAGGGAGAACTAGAAAAACCCTCAGAGGAAGTGCTCCTCCCCATTTGTGAGCTATTTTCGCTGAAGATCTCATAGCTGGCCTGCCTGAGCTATGCTGCACATCATTGATCCATTGATTATGCCCATGATCTCAATCCTGATGGGATCTGCCCCATCACCACAGATTTCTATGGCAATCTGCCACTCCACAGCCTGGCTACCTTCAGCAATGCTGCTTCGTTCTCCTCCCTCAGGCACTGCACAGATGGGCCCTTTTCAGCCAAGTCTGCCTCTCGCTGCCTTGCTGTGAACAGCTTCTAGAGGCCATTCCTGCTGCCCTGTGGCAGGAGCTTGAAGGTTGAAACACAAGACATGGGGGTGAGCAAGCACCCTGACGCCCCAGCACAGTGAGTGGTTATGTGTTAATTACTGCTCCATCCTCAGGTGCACCAGCAAACACTCCGCTAGGCATCTTACAAAGGGCAACCACGCTTCTTCCCTAGACACTGAGTGTGCGCCATTCGTAGAAGCAGGACACGTCTTCACATGTTAACAGCTTCTCCTGAAAAGCATTTCACAGATTTTGTCTTTCCCCTTCAAACCTGAAAAATGAAGCCCAAGCCTCATAAAGATAAACTTACTGGTGTTTAAGGGCCTGTTTCTGATTCTGTATTTCTCCAGGTCTGGTAAACTAGAGCTGTAGCAGAACCAACCGACAGACCGGAGGTGAAATAAGAGACAAGGCAGAACACAGGGCGATCCAAAGCCATAGGGAAAAGAATAAAGCAGCTTACAGACAGCTCTGGAAGTTCAACGCCTTAATCACAGACCAGCTTCGTGTCGTTTCGCATTAGGAACAAATCCCGTGTCACGCGAGAACAGGACGGAGGAAAGAAAGAACAGAACAAATAGCCACGCAAGGCTGGAATTTGGCTGTGGATGGTGGAAGAGGCAACGCACCTGGGGCCGGGGCCACGATCTGCCCACGGGAACCTCCGGCTGAGCGCTCGGGGAAGGGCTGTGACTGGCTCCAGCGGGACAGCCGACACACCGCGCGTGAGCCCCGCAGCCCCGCCGCACCCCACGCTGTGCCGCTGTCCGCCGCCAAAAGCGTCCCCGCGGCGCGCCGCGCCCTGCGCCTCCGTTCCGCCCCCGCCCTCAGCTCGATCCCCCCCCCCCCTGACCGCCGCCCGCTCGCGGTCGTTCAGATTTCCTTTTATTTTTATGACACTTTTTATTCGCATTGCTTTTTTTCCGCCTTCCCCCCCTCTCCCCCCCCGCATCACCGCCGGCAGCCGAGGCGCAGCGCTTGCAGCGCAGCCCCGGGGGCTGCAGGCGTGATGTACGCGAGGCTGGCGGCTGGGCGGCAGACAGGACGCGGCACGAGGCCCCGCTGACGGCGGGAGGCTCCGGAACGGCGTCAGTCCTGGCTCGAAATGCCCAGATGTCAGGGAAAGAGCTGACAGCCAAATACGGAAGAAGACAATAATGAACAGAAGATTAATGAGCTATCAGCAACGGCCTTGAAAGGCCAGAAGGTGGCTGCAGTTCTCCCTTACGAGCCACGGGGCTCTCTCCCTCCAGCTCTGAGCTGCCCACTACCCATCTGGATGCATCCCTGAAGCAAGTGTCCTCCTCCTCCCAGGGCTGGAGGAGGCGGGGGCTGTCCTGAGCCTGCAGAACCCAGCCAGGCGTCAAGCAGAGCTGAGAGAAACGTTGATTTCCAGGGCACGACAGCATCTCTGTCTGCAGACAAAATCATATGCTGTGGGCTCCATGCCCATGCAGAGAAAAAGGCACAAAGGACCAGCAATGCCTCGTTTTCCTGGGTTTGATCTCTGCCCTGAGGATTCAGCCCACACTGATTCACAGCCCCGCAATGGCACCAAGTCAGTGAGCTGCACCAGCCTTGCTCCAGGGAACACAAGAGGGAGGGCCGGTCGGTCAGAATGTGGTCCTCAGCTTCCACTGACACAACAGGAACTTTGTAATGGGAAGAGCTGCGAGCTGAACTGGTAGCTGCTGACATCCTGCCAGCTACAGCTGCCCAGGAGCAAGGCAGCAAAGAGAGGGATGGATATGGCTTGAGTCTGCCTTAGGCACAGGCAGGTTGTGTGCTGCATAAACAGTGCAAAGGCTGGGACAGCTTCACACCGCTGTGAGATGGACACGTGAGCACCTGTCTGGGGACACAGGACAGCTGTGCAGTCTTTCAGGTCTCTCCAGAGATTGACAATCCCTCCTGATTTGCTTGTTCTCCCCACTCCACCAACTGAGCACCAACAGAGTCATTGCAGGCATGGCTGTAACTGGAAGCAGTGGTTGCGCTGGAAAACACAGCTCTTTGGTATGAGTCTCCTTCAGGGGAGTTGCAGGAAGGAAGGGAAAAAAACAAAACAAAACAAGAGAAGAGAAGTGGGGTGGTTACCAAAGCTGCTAATCACAGTGCCAGGATGCCTTGGAAGGCACAGGCCAGCCCAGTGTCACATGCCTAAGGCATCCCGTCTCCAGACTTCCTCGCCCGCGATGTACGTGGCTTGCACGTGCAGGCTATCATCCAGCATCAGGAAATCTGCACCAGATAGGAGAGAAAAGAAACAGCTGTCAGAGGAACAGAGGAAGAGCAAGTGGGGCAGCTGAGGCTGGCTCAGAGGAGCTGGGCTCTAGGGCTGCCTCCACACTGAGGAGTTTCTCCCCACTCCAGAAACAGGTCAGGACTGCAGTGTAGAACCATCCTTGCTCTGCTCCAAGCTCATCTGAGATGTGGGATCCTCTCCAAAAGGCTCATGAAGCATCACCAGCACCCACAGGAAAAAAAAAAAAATCACCAAAGCAAAAGCCCAAAGCAGATCCTGGGCAGAGTGAGGGTCCCCAGTGCCCCCAGTGAAGCAGCAGAAGCATCCTGCATTTATAGCAGGCCCTACTTTTCTCCAGCATGCAGAAACCCTTCCCACCATCCCCATAACAGTACCTGCATCAGAATCATAATTCAGGGTCCCCTTTCTGTCTTCAATCCCCAAGAGCTGGGCAGGATGCAGAGATGCTGCCTCCAGCGCAGTCTCCACTGAGCACCCTTGGAGGAAGAAGCGTTAGTGCAGCAAACAGCCTCATCAGCAGAGCAGCCCAGTCCTTGGTTAAGGCAACTGGTGGCACTGCAGGGACCTTTGTGACAACCAAACCCATGCGCAGGGCCCCAGTGTCTTTGTCGGCACTGTTTGTGTCCTGTCCTGGTACAATAGAGCACTAACACTGATCTGACTGCTACTGCCCTGAACTACAGGGCAGGAGGAGCTGGGAGGCCCAGTCACAGATGGCTGGAGCTGGGGAGGGGAAACATCTCTAAGGGAAACAGTAGGAAGAAGAGAACTGATTTCTTAAGGTACAGGGTGGGGAAAGTCGTTCACTTTTAGGTATGGGAAAAGAGCAGAACAGTTCAACCCTACTTAGTGCTGCAGGTTATAATGAAGCACCCCTCCTAAAGGTGTTTGTCTCCAAGGCCAGTACCACTGATGTCAGCCCTTCTCCTCGTGTCTCGGACAAGAGGGGACATCTATAGCTGAGCAGACACAGCTGGCAAGAACAAGACTTCTTCACGGGGAGGAACAGCTTGTGGACAACGCTCACCCACCTGTAGCTTCCAGAAAGTGTCGCACACATGTGTCCATGGTTGCCACACTACCACTCAGGGTCTTTGTGCCTGGGAGAGAACAGGACAGTACTGAGCAGAACCCCAAAGGGGCAGAAATCCTGGGTCATGTGAGGAGCAAGTTGAAGGGCTCTCAGCCACTGCTGAGGAGTAACAGAAAGAGGCAAGAGCGTTCATGCTGGCAGTGAAGGGAGACGCATGAAGATGTCACCATGCAGCTCCCCTGTTAAGACCAGCTGGACTGGTTGAAACTCTAGCTCACAATGCAGGCACCTGCTGCCAGAGACGGGGGAGGGAAGTGACAAAGGAATAGCCCTCCAGAATATCTTCCCAGTCTCCAGCTGTTTGCAGATTAGGGAGCTTACTTAGCAGAAAGTGATGATGCTGCAGTAAAGACAAGGGACAATAAATAACAGTGGGATTTCTTTGTCCTTTCTGACCACGCACCAATTTCTAGCATCCACCCTACTTGGCAAGGAGATCAAAGGTGCTGCAGACAAGCTAAAAATTGTCAAATTCCTCCTCACTCCAACAAGACAGGTCAATTTTCCTTTTCATGAGATGCACCACTCTCCTCACAATCAAGTTATGGCAGAGATATTATCAGGCAACAAAACCCAAGATGGCACAAGTGCTGCTTCACGCTGACGAGCTCTGCAAGGTGTGCTGAGCTCTCCAGGAATAGGCACGAGTGACATGACCGTGTGCAGCTCTTTGGCAAGAGGCACCTACCTGCAATGTAGGTGTTGAGGCCATCGATCTCCACCACCTGCTGGCCCAGTGTATGCCGACCTGGTGCCAGCCCCATGCCAGCAATAGCGTCCGTCACCAGCACCATGCCTGAGGAATGCAAGGAAACAGGCTGGAGCAGCTTTGCAACTAATCCCACTGCATTATAATCTGAGCTCTGTGCCATGCCAACCCCCCCTGAGAGGTACCAAGACATCTCCAGCCGCATCCAGCTGAGGTGACAGGCTGTGGATTAAGACTTCTTTCAGACAGCACGATAACAAGCCACGGCAGTCGTGGGAGATGGCACAGCATTAGTGATGCTGGCGACATCACACTGCTGCCACTGTGTGGGCACAGTACGGCCTACCTTTGGGGTGGGCTCGATGGGCGATCCGCAGGGCAGCAGGGTTGGTGTGGATGCCATCAGAGATCATGCCATAGAAGACCCTCCGCCCAGCAGGAATCTTATCACTTGTCAGCAGCCCCACGATCCCAGGGTCACGATGGTGGAACTACCCAAAGTGGGAGAGGAAAAGATGATGGGTGTCACACCAGGACTCGCGGGCTGAGACCCTTCCTGCTGTCATCTCTATCAAACAGTGCCTGGCAGCTGGGCACTTCATCCATTATCAAGCGTAACCAGGCAACCCCTCCAATTTCAAGAGACTGCTACAGCTTTGACTCTCTTAAGTCAGGCAGTAGAAGCATGAAGCCAGAGGTTCTGTGCTGAAATTCCACTGCAAGGCCTGGTACAAAACAAGTTGATGATGCAAATAAGCGTTTGTGGGGAGCAAGAGAGAAAGCAGTGAAAGCAATGCTGGCACAGGACAAATGCCCTTGGCAACTCACCGGCAGCATGGCATTGAAGAGGTGAGTGATGAAGGTAGCACCGTGCTGCACAGCCTCCTCAGCCTGGGAGAGGTTAGCCACCGAGTGACCTGGAACAGAGACCACTGCGTGATTCTTCTGCTCATCTCTGCATTTCTTTTCCCAGAGGAACACCCAAGAGTAAAGATGCTCTGTTAGGGCTCTGCTCTGAAGCTCCACCCTGGGCTTAGGTGAGCACCAGCCTTGTTGCTGAGCTGTCTGACCACAACCAGTGGGGACTTGCAGGAGGGGATTCACCTGAACACACTGATTACAACAGTCACAAATGCTGCCTTGCTCCTACAGGCACTGGGGAGAGTTGCCTTCTGGCTGGGCTACAAGTCCTAGGATTTGCATTTCTGCTCTCCTCAGATATTTCAAGGCTTTATACAGAGAGGTGTCAAAGACGTAGGGAGACAGTGGGCAGTTCTCCAAGAAATGAAACGCTGATAAAACAAAATCCAGAAAGAGAATGTTGTTTTCCCTAACATGGACAGCAGATCCGTTGCCTTTCTTTGATTGTCTTTACGTGACTGTGAGACAAGATATCTCTGCTGCACAAACACCCAACCAAATTAAGGTTCAGTTTCACCTTGAAGAAAGGGTGGTGGGAGTGGTGGGAGAGGTCTTCAGCTCTTCTAGTTGTATAACCGAGTCATCAAGACTCAACAGCAACCTTTGGAAAACAGTATCGCCTGTCAAATAAGGCCTAAAGCTGCTGAACTTCAGAGTTTGAACCTTTCCAAGTAGTCAGCCTGGAATTACATCCTTATTAAACTGAACGTTAAAAAAAAAAAAAGAAAGGAAATTATGACTGCTGTTCTTTCCTGTGTTTTCCCAGCACCAGTGCTACCCTGTGCAAAACTACAGGAGCCCTTCGACCAACCTTCTGTTTGCAGACAGGGCGACAGATTTACAGCATCAACTGAGCTCCCTGTATGTCACACATCTGTCACCCTCCCTGAAGGCCAGGAAAGGGGTGACAAAAGGAAATACCACCCAGCCCAGCCACACAGAGACACCATTAGAGATATCACAGCCCTGGGCTGCCCGACCCATGCTGCATGTGACACGGACAGACCGAGCCTCCCCCCAGCCCTTACCGAGTGAGACACAGATGCCTCGCTTGGTGAGTTCCTGGATCACCTCGTTGCTCCTCTTTATCTCTGGGGCCAAGGTGACAATGCGGATGCAGTCCAGGGACCCGTAGGTGGCAAGCAAGTCCTGGAAAGCATTTTCCTCGAAGGTGCGGATGCAGTGCTCTGGGTGTGCCCCCTTTTTCTCCTTGCTGATGAATGGTCCTTCCAGGTGAGCCCCTGCTCAAAGGGGAACAGAGTCATCTTTCTTCCTCTTCCAACCAAGGAACAAGAAACCTGCCGTGTCCACCCTGCTCCAGCCAAGCTCTTCCCATTCTCCCACAGTAAAGCAGAGTTCAGGTAAATCAGAGCTCAGTACAGCAACAGATGCAGCACTGGCCAGCCCCATAGCCGTTACTCTGTCAAACCCCATAGGGCTGATAGCAGAGCACACTGCAAAGGCTGGGGACAGGTTTGGGGAGACAGCAGGCCTGTGCCCACCTATGTATCCCTGCCACCGAGAGAGCTTCAGCTCCCAACTCTTCTGTTCCTAAAACAGCTTCTTTTTCTTAAGAAGGAAAAGGATAAACAACAGGCACCAAATAGGACAGTGACAAAATCACTTACCCAGGATACCAGCTCCGTGAGCTCCACCATTTCTTACACTGATCTGGGGAAGAATCTATAGAAAGGGGTTAGTCAGACACCTCACATACACAGCACTGCCAAAGCAACCCAAACCTTGGGCTCCCACAGAGCTGCTGCACCACCAGAAACGAAAAGCCAAGCAGCTCACAAAGGAAAAGCAAGCTGCAAGCCCCTCTGTGCAAGGTAGCTACCTGCTGGCCTGGGAAACACTGCTGCCTCGGTGGTGTAAAGATTAAGGGCAAGAAACCTGGGGCTGTTCAGGTCCTTATGTCTACAACTCATCCACTATGGCAGCCGTCTCATTGTCTGAAGATGAGGCTGAGGAACCAGCCTTGGCTCTCTTGTACCAGCATCAGCTCTTTATCACCCTAAGGATAAGAGGTGGAGAAAGTCACTCACCTGGTGGTACACAGATGGAGGGGATGTCACCAGGGTGGGACAGAAGGAAGTCACTCCATGGGAGAGTATTTTCTGACCGACCAGGTCAATCCCTGATCTGAAATCATCCGTAGCCAGGGAGAAATCCACCCCAAAGCCTCCTGCACCATGAACAAAACAAAGGTGAAGCCGCAGGCTCCGCAGCAGCCAGGCAGTGCTGCCCAGAGCCCCATCTCCAGCCCGGGCCCAGCAAGGCACTGGGGCTGCACCTGACGATTCCCAAACCCAAAACGCTGTGGAACCATTTGGGGTGAGCAGAGCAAGCCTCCAGCTTTGCACAGCACAGCCTGGAAGCAAAAAGGCTTCACCAGCACTTCTGCCCCAAATTCCCGAAGTTCTGACAGCGCAAACCCAGCCAACGCCATCCATTCCCCCCAGCACAGAGAAAGGGGCAGCGGCGTGCACCTCACCGTTGATCTGCACGTCGATGAAGCCCGGGGCGAGGATGCAGCCCTTGCAGTCCAGCTGGACGTCGGCAGAACCCTTCTCGTCGAAGAAGAGTTTCTCGGGGTTGAGGATCTTCCCCTCCCGCACCCACAGATCCTCCCTGCGGGGACACCACGCTCACACCACGCTCACACCCCGCCCGGGGCCCCCCGCACCCCGCGTGGTCCCACTCACCGCTGCAGGCGGCGGCCCCGCAGGAGGCGGCAGTTGGTGAACTGCACGATGGGGGCGTCCGACACGGATTTGTTGGACGGCATCGCCGGGCCGAGGGAGTCGACCCGCAGCGGGGCTGCGCGAGGGCAGGGCGGGACCGCGGAGCCGGCGGCCGGGCTCCTCCCAGCGGCCCCGGGCCCACGCTCGGACCAAAGGCCGCAGCCGGGCCCAGAGCCCGGGACCGCCGGCGGAGGGCAGCGGGGAGCAGGGTGGGGCGAGGAGCCGCGCTTACCCCGGGGCACCGCCGGTCCTCTCACGTGAGCGCTCCGAAAGGCCGCCCCGCCCCGCCCCGCCCCGCCCCGCCCCACACATGACCGGCCCAAGGGCGCCGCCATCTTGGGGAGGTGGCAAAGGGCCGCCGCCATCTTGGGGAGGTCGCGGTTTCTCCACAGCCGCCGGCGGGCAGGGAGCTAAATTCAGATGTCGGAAGTCACAGAATCACAGAATCACAGGGTTGGAAGGGACCTCAAGGATCATGAAGCTCCAACCCCCTGCCGCATGCAGGGCCACCAACCTCCCCATTTCATACCAGCCCAGGCTGCCCAGAGCCCCATCCAACCTGGCCTTGAACACCTCCAGGGTTGGATGGGACATCACAGCCTCTCTGGGCAGCTGTTCCAGCACCTCAACACTCTCACAGCACACAACTTCCCCTGACATCCAACCTCAATCTGCCCTCCCTCAACTTCAAACCATTTCCCCTCATCCTGCTGTTATCCACCCTTTCCAAGAGAAGGTTTTGAGGTCTTTCCCAACCATAACAGCTCTGCAATGCCACATCTGAGCTCCTGTGGAGGCTGGCAGAAGTGTACGCTGGTGTTCCAGTGCAGCGTGCTTCAGGGCTCTTGAGAAAGTGTGCAGAGCACCAGTAGGAAGGCTGTGATTCCTGGGGAATCCCACCTCAAACACAGCATTTCAAACACGGCGGGCTGGAAGAAGCGGGAGGCAGCGGGCACCCATCTCCTGCATGGACCACGGGAGCCGTCTCCTCGTTACCTCATCCCACACAGCTCCCGCTGCCTCCTGCCTTGTGCTCAGATTATGAACACTTGGGGCAGAGTCTTTTTGCCATTGAGTCTGTGCTGATTCCAGTTTAGAGCCCTTTAGTGCAGAAGGTGGCCCAGAGGATCAATGCCAAAGGACTGAGGCAGCCCTGGTGCCTTCATCTCCACAAGTTAGCTGTGTTCCCAGCCCTTGTGTCACCCAGACAAGGCTGCTGCAGCCCTCAGTGCGCCATGCATGGCACAGCTCCCGGCCCATCCTTGCTGTCAGAGCCCTGTCACATCTCCATGCTGTTCTCCCCAGCATTGCTGAGCGAGCAGGCCTATGCCAACACCAGTTAAATGGCATGGAAATGTTACATTCGAGTATTCATGTTTTATCAGGCAAAGTTCAAAGGCCTGGAAGGTCAGACAAGAGGGATTAGTGGTTCCTAATGGCTTTTAAGTCTGAATTTGTGAATAAGTAACTCTGGCTTGAGTGGCTGCAGCGGCTCGTTCCTCCCCAGGGAATGAGGAACCTGCCTGGAGGAGCTGCTCTGCTTTGTCCTCGTGCATTGCACCCGCATGTGACTGCCTGCTGCAGGCATGTGTACGGCGTGGGGGCCGTGCTCACTGTGAAGGGAAGTAGCGCTGCAGGCTGTGATGCATCCATCCTGCTCGTGGTTATTTACCTCCTGAAAGGGAACCATAGGCAGATGCAGGTCTGCTAATTGCTGAAGGAGTGGCTGATGCTCAGCCCCAAGAGCTGGCAGTGTGCTGGAAATTGTGTAGCTGCTCAGAAATCTGGCTAGGCACAACACTACACCACAATAACTACACGAACAAGATGAAACCATAATTGTTTATTGGCTTGGGCAAAGTAAGGTTTCTGGAACTCCTCACTTTGCTGTTCCGCTCTCAGCTTCAGGGAAAGAAAGTTAACTGTGACCTGGACATGTAAGTCATTCCTTCTTTTAAACGTTACTTCTAAGCTGACAGCATTGCTGTAGGCAGGCTGCTCCGGTCATCTGACAAGTCTGCAGCAGCCTGGGAGAGAAGACAAAGCTATTCTGTGCTCTAAGTGCCAGCCCCGGGCTGTCCTCACCAGCACACCATGCCACCGGCGGTCCTTCTGATGTCTGCATCTCTGTGGGCAGAAGGGAAATCATGTCTGACCGCCATAATGTTAAACTTTGTTCTAATTAAAGCAGCATCCCCACCAAACTCTGTATTTACTCCTAGATGTCTGCTTGCAGACATTCCCTTCCATTCTCTTTGCTCCATGTTGCTGCAGCAGTGTCCAACCAACACTTGCTCTCGTTGTATCTAGTTCAGTGTCCCACAGCGTTGCAGAGTCAATTACCTCGTCCAGAACTGTGTCTAAGCAGGGTGCTGATGTGAGCTCCTCTGATGAATCATGTTGAGAAAAGATAAATGAAGTGAAATGTAATGGTGCATGAACATAACATCCCCGTCTAGCCAGGAAGTTAATGTAGAGATCAGCATTTAATACTGTACTTATTCCACATGTCAGTGCTTGTCTGCACAACAAAGCTACCTTTCAGTGTCAGCAGGATGCCAGTAAAGGCCATTGAAATGGAGAATGATGTTAGTTTATCCCAAGAAAACTACACACAGCCTGGTTTGGGAATGTGAAGCTAGGAGTGGCTTCAGGTGGGTTTTACTCATCGTGGTTGAATTATCCATCCTCAGGGGCATCACCCAGCAGCATGTCAGTGAGAATGACTTGTGGCTTTAGTACGGCTAAAGAGACTCCAAAACCGGAAAATTAGAAAATGAATCCTAACAATGTATCTCAGGCCTGTTTATTCAAGCCAATAACTTTCTTAGGGCAGAAGCACCCTTCCAAACAGCTAAATTCAGATGTCAAAAGGCACACAGAGCACCCCAATGGCTTACAGCCAAACGGCATTTTCACATGCATGCACATGCTGACAGCATGTGTGACAGCATGTTGTGACAGCAGTTTTCCTTGGCAGTGGAAGAAACATCCAGGCAGTTACACGTGGTAACGTCCACTATAACAGAGCTTGCCATGGGGCCCAGCCTGCCAACAGCTTCACCAACCCTTTGGCAACAAAGGGATGCAAAACATCTATGATGAAAGCCAGAAGCGAGCCACTGAATCACAGCACTGGGAGATGGCCCTGACCTCCCTCTGTTCTGCTGCATGAACAAACAGAACAGCCTGTTCTGAGACAACAGGTATGGGAATCTGCCTCAGCAATGCTGTAGGTGCGTTACCCAGCCCAACTTCATGTCACCCATCTCTACTTAAGGATTGTCCCTTTGGATGCTCTCTATTTCACAGAATTAAACCAACCCTGCCTTACCTCACCAAGAATTACACGCTCCTCCTTTAATAACTGCATGCTCTTTCTCTCCACTGCCCCAGTAACAGGCTGAGGGAATCACAAGCAGTAGCTTCACTTGTTTTTCCCTTAGCAAATCATTTCTTTTTCAGGTCAAGTTATTTTTAACCTGGCTCAATTCCCAAATCAGATTCACTGCCTCGCCACAGGAAAAGCTGTAGCAGCACGTTTGGGAGAAACGGGGGAGGCTTACAGATGTGAGCAAAGGTACAGGTACCAAAGCAAGGAGGGCTCAGGCTAGCTCTGCTGCCAAAATAAAGGCTTGTGGAGATGCAGATTTGGTTTCTCGTTTTTCACGTGCATTCCCAAAGAGGTCTAAAAATTGTTCTAATGAACAGGGACCAGAGATGCTGCTCATATCTGTGAGCTGGACACCATGCTGACCTTGGGAACTCCGGGGGTTTCCTAAGATTAGCCCTCAGCTCGAGAGAGACAAAACCATTGGACCAAGGTGGTCATCACCCTCTGCTGCGTGAGGCCGTCCCGTCATCCTGCCCCCTCTGAATGAAGCTGGACACTGCATGAACAGGTAAATCCACATCACTGACAAAACATAAAGTGCCACCTCCATTTCACTACAAAACCGCAGCGGAGGCTGTTCAGCGTCACATTCAAACTGCAGTAAAGCTGGAAATGGGATCCAGATGTTCAAGGGCATCTCCAGCTTTCCCCTTATACATACACCTTTCTGCAGCTCTTATTGCTTGGTTTGATTTACACTGTACTGTTTGGCGTTGCTCACTTCGATCCCCTGTAATGCAGCAACCACAGGAACCCAGGGCACAGGAGCAGGGGTTTCGCTGGAACAGATCCCCCATCCCTGCAGGCATTCAAGGCCAGGCTGGATGTGGCTCTGGGCAGCCTGGGCTGCTGGTTGGCGACCTGCACACAGCAGGGGTTGGAACTGGATGAGCACTGTGCTCCTTTGCAACCCAGGCCGTTCTGTGATTGTATAATTCTCCAAACAGGAGTTACTTTATTGCAATTAATTTTCAGATGCATTTGGATTTACTAAAGCAGTCCTAAAAAGCAGTCACTGACCAACATAGGTAGGTTCTGCTTCTACAGCAGAGCATTAAATAATTTAAAAAATCACAGCATTTGGTGAGGAAGAAAACCCCAACATACGAAAGCTAACAAAGCAAAAGGTCAGCAAGCTCTTCCAATGCATTGTCTATGCTGACAGCATCGGAGAGCAGGCATCCCTCGCCTTTACCTAGCTTGAACTGACTGCTAATGGACATCACCCTCTGCTGCTGCTGCTGCTGCAGAGCCATTCTGTTCTGTTCTCTCTGCAGGGCTGACTCACTCTGCAGTGCACGCAATCTGCCACATTACACAGAACTATTTATGTGCCAGCAGACGCCACCTCTTCTCAGTCAGGCCCGCCACGAGGCTGTCGTTCCATGCTCTGGGGCTGCCTGCTCTGCTCTTCCAAAGCAAAGTCAATCCCTGGTGGATGGGGCTGCACTCAGACCTAGCAGAAGAGCAGTCAGTAAATGAAGGAAAGGGGCTGAAAGGTCTGTAATTTTCTTAGTACCTTGTATCACCTCAGAAATCTGGTGACACAGTAGCCTCACCAGAGGACTTGAAAGGCAAGTTTTCACCTGGGAGTCACCAGTGAGGATCTAGAGCACGGCTGTAACAGAGAACAGCCAACGGATTTAAACTGTTAATTTTACTCCTGGTGTATTTGCAGGTATTAATGCAAGGC